TACCGATCGCAAATAAATTTTCTACATTTCTTTTTGCTCAGTTGCGAGCTCACGAGACGAGACAGATTTTTTATGCACGCGAAATGCCCGTGTTCGTCCTCCACGTACAGCAGATTGACGTGCCTGTCCTTCTTTTTTTCCGAAAGACGCAACGGGACGATGTTCTCGTTCTCGATGATGTACACATTCACGGAGATGTCGTTTGCAAGTTCAAACTTTTTAATTTGATTCACAGTCACTGGAAACTCAATGTTTTGGAGATTCAGCACTGTTGTGTAATGCGGATAGGAGGATTCTCGATCCCATTTTCTTTCAGCGGGTACAGAGCGGCCACCACTGACCATGCGAAACACGCATTGTCCGCTGATTGCACATTAACAACCGCTCTCTTTGCCATAATTTTTTGCGGTAATTTGACATGACATCCCGCGCGCATTGGATTGTACTTATTTACATTCACTGTCAAATCTATTATCCGCGACAATGCCCAGCCGCTATCGCGTTCCTGGAACTCTTCTAGCGATGCTAGCGTGGGCTCGATTACGCGGCGCTCGTACCACTCGCGTACATCGGACGTGCGAAAGAGTTCAAAGTTTCTCGTGTTAATACTTTTATTGGCACGCTTGTCACCGGACACAAATTCACCGTTGAAAACAGTGTTCACTTTTACACTGATGTGTCTCTGCAGCACATTCTCCACGTTCTCGACTATAATGTCTTTGGCATTTTCCAAAAATTGACGCGGTTCGATATAGTCTGCGTTAATTACCGCACCGGTCAGTATACGGCTATCGAACGCCGTATCGATTTCGCGCCAAACTAGTCTTTGCGCGTTATTGCCGCCGCCACTAGGCATGGATCCACCACTAAACATGGATTCACCGACATACTGTCTCTGCAAGCGCACCTTTGCACCCTCGAGTCGCGCTATTCTCGCCACGAGAGATTGCCTATGTCCAATCGAGAGACGCGGACGCTTGACACGGCTGCGTTCTTCCAGCTGTGTGATAAATTCTTCGCACTCTTGCAGCCATCCGAAATATTCGCCCAAGGTGGCGACTTGGCGGGAACGCTCCAACAGGTCGCGCTCAACGTTCTCCATTTTGTAAAAAATTCACTTTTTCACACTTATTACAAAAAACTTCTTTGCACACTAAACTTTTTTTCTTGCACCTCGAATGAAGCATGCGCTCGCCAGTGGTACTATGGTCCGGCAGCGGCATCGGTCCTCATTATATATCCCCGATCAACCCTTTGTTCGTCAACGTACGAACGAGAAAAATTTAGATGACGTAAATTTTCGGCGCTTGTTTTGTTTATAAATTCCTGCAGCCGCTGGTTATCGGCGCTGGTATTTCTTCCTAAGATAAACAATAAAGAACCGCCGCTTATTGGGGAGGTACCGCGAGGGTGATATACAATCCCATGCAAAAACATGTCGCAGGCCGCAAGCGGTGAGATTGCAGGCAGCGAGGTCGCAAGCGGCGAGGTTGCAGGCAGCAACTTGTTCGCCCTGAAACTTTACCCGCTGATATTTCTTAGAAATATATGTATAGATCATGTATCAACCCCCTTGATTGTCGGCGTATGCCAAGCGGTGGCCCTTCTTAAAATTTGATTATCTTAGATTTTCAGAGAACTGATTGTTGGCGCTCGGATCCAAGCGGCCCTTCTTAGAATTTAATTATATTTCTTAGAAATATACAGATAACGTATGGGGGAAGAAACGCAACCCCCTTGATTGTCGGCGTATGCCAAGCGGTGGCCCTTCTTAGAATTTGATTATATTTCTTAGAAATATACAGATAACGTATAAGGAGAAGAAACGCAACCCCCCCCCTCCCCCCTGATTGTCGGCGCTCGAAATGCGGCAGCCATTCGCAGAATTTTATCTTATCTTCGGAGAAATTTATGAAAACTTTGATACCGCTCAAAGACGCCGCTTATCTTTGATACCTTACAAAGACGCCGCTTATCTTGGATTCAAAAACTTAGCTTATCTTGTTTATAAATATATCAGGTAACATGATCCCCTTATCTTATCTTGTTTATAAATATATCAGGTAACATGATCCCCTTATCAGGTTATCTGATATGTTTATAAACAAAAGATAAGCTTATCTACTGATAAGACCCCTCCCCCCCCGTGACGTCACCCCCCTCGCCCCCGATTCCCCCCCGCCCCGCACCCCCCTCATTGCCTCTGAGTTAGAACTTCCCTAGTATAACTACTTTGACCGTTCTACCCTGTGGCAAGAACTCATGATGCACCACGCCCCTGCAATCGAAAAATCGTCTGTTGTTGACGTGCTCGGGCGTCCGGCACGCTCTTCGTCGTTCACATCTTCTCGGCCTTCGGAAAACATTTTGTACCACCGATAAACGTTGCTTCGGTCCAAGGTAGCTTCACCATATGCCACAGTCAACATTCGGAATGCGTCCGCGCACTTAATTTTGTTTTTCACACAAAATTTGATACAGATTCTTTGATCCATTTTTTGGAATAGGCAAAAATTGAAGACGAGCCAAAACACGTGCAAGCAAAGCAGCTGTCAAAAATTAACTGAACATTAATGGCCGTACTTGTCGGCATAAATGAGAAACATGAGTACCAACATAACGCCACAAAAAAATCGAAAATCGAATATACGTAACCCGCGGAAATTCAAAATTCGCGATACTTTTTGAACACACCTCGTATTACAAAATAAAAAAAGTGAATCGGCGAATAGAAAAGATGTCATCTGCAAATGACAATCCATGGCCAGTATTCATAATCTGAATTTATATTTAATATCGTTTTCAATCTAATATTGACTTAAAATTCCGTTCAACCAATCAAGCTCGGACTTAAAATTTAATATACGATCGGACTATTAATTAATAATAATACCGGTCTATTCCTCTCTTTTATAAAAAAAGTGCAAAGCAATCAATTATGCGATGCTGCTTGCATAAATGTTAATAAAAGTAGCATAAATTTTATTAATAAAATAGATTATCATATCTCAATACAACGATATCTGAATACATACCATTTTTTATTATCGTTATAGCACTTGCTTTCCGAATCTTTCAGACAAAGACCCGTATCCTTTTTGGAACGCTTAATTTTTAATGCCGTAGAAATAGATAAACAAATGGTACTGATGATGCACATACTTCTGAGCCCATGATAATACAATAAATACGGACCAGTCTCTGTATAAATATAAAATATCATGAGTCTTATATTGTTTCTCATAATACTAGAATGCTATAACATTAATAAAGTTATCTTCACTTACCATTGAACCAGCAATAATCTCCTAAATTAAATTCCGGTCGCAAAATCGATGGTACATTTACATACGCGGAAAGAAATTCCATGATGACACATAAAATAGCAACATAAAAGGACATCCCCACGCAATGATCGTATAATATATCAACTTTCTTTTTTCTCGTTGTCTGGCGTTTTTTTGTAATGAACAGAATCCTCTGCAATTTACACAGCATATTTAACAAACAATAAATAAAAGAAATCAGAATGTAAAAATGTTAAAATAATGTGTCTTTGATCAAGTCACTATATCATACTATAGCATACTATAGAGCAAAGATTCAGCTTGAAAAATCCATTCTTAAAATTGCTGTACAATGATTTTTAACAGTGTTATGAACGATTAAAGTGAAAATGACAATTTCTGTTCAATTTGCGATAACTTGATAAGGAAAGATCGACATTTACATTTTAAAAAACAATTTTGCAGAAAAAACTTCAGGCTGTAACATGGAAATGTTAAGAAATTTTTCAAATTTTTTTGTGCATGCAACACGTCTACAAAATGAGAAAAAATTTTCCATTTTGTTATGTTTTTCGTTTTTTTGTATACATATAAAAAATATCAGAATTGAAGAAAATGAAAAAAACTGTAAAATCATTGAAAGTAGGGATTTCAAGCTTTAAAACTTTTTTAAAATTTAAATTCTCATTATTCTAAACAAATTACAATTATTTAAAGTTTGCCTATTTTTGGTCAATTGTTTTTTTTATGCCCTAATTATTTTAAGGAGTGTATATTTATATAATTATTATGCTGACACGACAATGGTACTTTAAATTTTTATTTATTTTTGAGAAATATAAATTATAAATTAAAAGATATACTTTATACATTAAAAGAGAAAAAAATCAAATTAAAATATTATTGCATTATATCAAATCTTATAATCGAATTATTAAATTTTGTTATAATATTTTATACATATTTAAATAAATATATAATATGCTTATTATATCTAATACGCCATTTTTACTTTTAAAAAAAATTAACCGTTTAAAAATCTGTAATCAATCAAAATCTTCATAAAAACTATTTATTTCAAATTATAATTTGAACCTATGTTTTTTATACTCAAACTTATAATGTTCTAATTGTAAGTTAAATATAGTTGTTTTTGCACGTACCAACACTATATCATATAAAAAATTCGATTAATACAGAATTTTGCATATTATACAGGGTGTCCGGTAACTAACGGACCAACGATTACAAATGGATTCTTTGATCAATTTGGGAACGATTTTTCCTCAGCAAAAATGTCAAAAAAAAGTCATCATTTTTTACAACTTTCCAATATTTGTCATTATGTATCTTTATAACTAAGCCTCAAATTAAAATTTTATTATAGTAAACTCTACCTGAAATTAACTGAAGAATGTAATTACGTTTTAACTCCAAAATGTTTAGTTTACAAAAAACTCATTTTTTTCAATTGCTTATAACTCGAAAATTATTGACTTCTCAACATTTTTGCTAAGGAAAAATCGTCTCCAAATCGGCCAGAGAATCCGCCTTTAATCATTGGTCCGTTAATTACCGGACACCCTGTATATTCTCTCTATCTTTATCTTTAAACCGATATATATAAAATCAAAAAGAGAGAATTTTATAAAAACAAATGAAAGGCAAGTATTAAAAATTAGTAGTAACAATATAGAATATTTTCCAACTTACCTGAATGTACACCACATATCAAAGCTTATTATATTTATCCAAAAGCAACTCGCCAGATAACAAAAGTGTGTTAAAAAGGCTGTAAAAATGAATAAAATTAAAGGCTGTAATAATTAATAATAAATAATAATATACAATATTATTAATATAAATATTATTATTATTAATATAAATATAAATGTAATATGTAATTTGTTTTTATAATTAAGAAATAAATAAGGAGCAGGAAATAGGCCAAAATAGCAACACGAAGTATAATTTGGTCACAAATACAACTTTAATTAATAAACAAAATTTTTTATTAAATAAAAACTTTGTATTTGCGACCTAATTACTTCGCGTTGCTCTTGTGATCTATTTCCTGCTCTTTATTTATTTCTATATTATTAATAAGTAATAATATATAATATCTACCATATATATCTATATATATAAGTACCGTCCGTCTGTCTGTCTGTCTGTCTGACCGCGAACTACTTCCACATTTCTGGACCGATCTTCATCAAATTGGTACCAAAATTTTGCAAATTTTCCGGGGAGTGTGACAATGATAATTTTTTGTAAGTTTTACCCCTCCACCCACGCACCTACTCATGCAATCGCATATTTATGGATCGATTTTTTTGAAATTGGTATCAAAATGTTGCAAATTTTTGGAGATGGCGACGATGCGGTTTTTTCAAGTGTTACACCTCCACCCACGCAGTCACTCACGCGCATGCGCATTTATGGACCAATTTTCACGAAATTGGTACAAAAATGTTGCAAATTTTTCTGAGAAAGCTGCTGTGTGGTTTTTTTAAGTCTCATCCCACTCACGCATCCACCAACGCATTTACACATTTATTCACAGACTTTTTCGAAATTTGTACTCAAATTTTGTCGGGGATAGCTACTATGTGATTTTAAAAAAAATTTATCACCCTATTCACTCGCCCACGCACCAACTCACGCATTTACCCATATGCATACGCATTTATTGACCGATTTTCACGAAATTGGTACCAAAATGTTGTGTGGTTTTTTTAAGTTTTATCCCAATCACGCATCCACCCACGCTTTCACAAATTTTTTCGAAATTTGTACTAAAATTTTGTAAATTTGTCGGGGATGATCAATATATGATTTAAAAAAATTTTTAACACCCTATTCACTCACCCACGCATCAACAAATTTATATACCAATTTTCTCGAAATTGGTATAAAAATTTTGCATATTTTTCAGGGATCAATAATATGTGTTTTTTTTTATTTTTACCACCCTATTCACTCATCCACGCACACACTTACGCAACTATTTACGTACTAACACATTTATAGACCGAATTGGAATTTATTTGCCACAACCCGCATTTGCTCATGGTCAACTATATGTAGCATTCTTTAGAGCAACAAAAAGGAATAATATCAAAATAAAAATTAATGAATTAAGCAATCAAGGACAAATAATTAAAGAAAACCAAAATATTTTACAAAAAATATTGTATACAGAGAGGTTTTATAAATTGAAAAAATTATAAAAATGTATGAGAGCTATGAATAGCGGCTCAGCGGTGGGAACATACGCAAAAAATAAAAAAAAACTAATAATAAAAGATAAAAAAACATTTTGGTATCTGTTTCACGAAAATCGATCCACAAATGTATAAGTAGTTCGCGGTCAGACAGACAGACATACATACATACAGACTTAGAAAGTCTAAAGAATACTTAAAAATCATTTACGACAAATATTGTATACAAAGAGATTTCGTAAAATAAAAAATTGTGTGAAAATTAATAATAGCGGAGTCAGTGTTGAGAAAAGCTAGTAATAATATATATATATAAATATTATTATTAATAAATAATAATATATTATTTATCATTATTCGTTAAAATTGCAGGATCTCAAAGTTATCACATTTATATTTCTCCATTAAAATAGATTAGCTTTAACTTCCTCAATTAAATTTTATTTTAATATTTACGTAATAAATACTGCTAATCAAATTAAATATGTTTGATTTAATATGTAATTCAGCAAAATTCAGTAACACAAAGAAATATATCTATTTGAGACGAATAACTTATATTAATTATATATTAACATGCATTTAAATAAAATTTAAATGTTATTCACTATTTTGCGTTTTTAAGATTTTAACAAATAATATATTCAAATAACATTTAAAATTATTAATTAATATTTAATGTGTAAATTTAATATGCAAATTTAATACCTACGCAATATTTAATATACATTAAATATCTGATAAATATATATACGCTATACCATGGTGGAAGAATAAAGGTGAGTCAAGTTAGGGGGTCAAATTTTGTTCGCTTTGCGCAACTCACCAAATCAACCATTTTGTTTTACTAACACATGCTTGGTCGCGTGTATATGTATTGTGTACAAGTGATCGTAGCTATAATGATCATAGAGAATTGTCAAAATTTTCTAAAAAAGTATTTATTCATTCAGATAGTTTCTTAGCTGATTTTTTCGATAGGTAAAGTATTCCACATGAGGTTTTACTTTGTTTAAGATCAGAACTTATATTAAATTAAGAGCATTGAATAATGTTATTTGTGACGAAAATAGAAAAAGAAAAGCAAATAAACTGAAAAAAATTTGTAATAAAAAATAATTTTAATTTTATGTCAATTTGTTTTCCTGTTCCTTAAAACTTTATCATAAGTAATCCTTTCTTTTTCTTTATTTTTGTTTCAGTGCAGTTGTTTTAAAATAAAATTTGTTTGAGTAATTCTTTTTTAAATGTTGATTTTTTGATCAGTTTATAAAAATAAATTAATTATTTTAGTTTCTTATATTGTGTACTTGTTTAAAAATAAAAATGCATTTTCCTCATTTTCTTGCTTACGAAAAAATAAATAAACAGTCTGGTTATCTAAAAAAATGTATTTTGTATTACACGTGTAGGCAAAGTGGCACTTTGTATGCGTGTTTTTTGTGCGGAAAGCGGCCGATTTCCCACGCCGCTATCTAGTGGCGACGCGGTGAGTGAATAAGCCACATTGAAAACCATTGTCTACGGCTGAGCCGCGTTTAAAGTCATTGTCCACGGCTGAAGCCGTAGACAATGTATTGAACACGGCTATTCCCGCACAGTGCCGCCGCAAGATGGCGGCGTGCGATCGGCCACCTCGCGCACAGAAAACGCGCACAAAGCTATTTTGCCTGCACTTGTAATACAAAATAGTATGTGTATCAAGTGCGGAAAGTTGACAATTGGTCACGAGTGCGGGGGATGGACGCACGAGCCGAAGGCGAGTGCGACCACCCCACACGAGTGAACAATTGTCAATCCGCACGTAAGAGCATTGAATTTTTTATTACAATATACTATTATTCATTTTTAATAATTTAAATATCTGCTAGTTTCCCGGTAGTAATGGCTGATCTGGTGGCAACTTTCTATTGGCCGATGAAATCACGTTGCGCCTTGACTCATCTTTATTCTTCCACCATGCGCTATACTGATTGTATGTCTTATGATTTAGATATATACTCTACCTGTTGTAACGCAGACGGGATACTGTACACCACTCAAAACATACACCATGTCAACTCCGTATACAACAAACGAAGCACCGCTGTAATTGCGCAACATGAAGCCGTGTCTATTTCGGAGTTCTGGCAATATGGAATACACCAGAAATACTAACCCCAAAAATAACATAGATACTATATCGGCACTTATTTCCATAATTTCTTCGCCAGAAAATCTGAGTTTTTTATCAATCATCTCATTGATCTTGTCATAAGTTTTGGAACAGATGGTTACTTCGAACTCATTCCCGTCGACGACGGTGAGACAATATGATGTCGATTCAACAAATATTTTATAATAAGTTAAATATATAGAACCGTTGGTAAAAATCTTATAATCGCACTGAGAATCTTTGGGACGCAGTTGATCTTCCTGGCACGAATCATAAATGGACAGCTTAAACAGTTCGTTCACTCTCTTTTCGCTCTGCGTCGAATCGTTCGTGTATACTTTTGGAAAAATGTATTCGATTTCTTCAGGAATGCAATTTTCATCAACCAGACGATTGCCAAGAAAACAGCAGAGCCGAATGCAAGTATCATTATGACACATTTCGTTTGGGACGATGATAGTTTCATTAGTATCTTTGCTGGAATTTTTGAAAACTTCAAGTGACATAGAATCAATCTTTTTAGTTATATTTTTATGAACTTTCTGTGACATGAAATTTCTTTTATGATTGACATTTGTCGAATTCGTGTTAGATTTCATCGATTTTTGCTCATCATCTTTATTCTGCATTGAATGCTTGTTCAGTTTATGTTGAATCAAATCATTATCCTCGCGATTGTTATTTATATAAAATGTATACTGCATTTTGTCATTTTGTGTATTATTCGTCAAATTTTTATGCAAATCATGTCGCAGTGTTATTATTTCGTCGTTATAATTTGTTGTAGAATCCGCATTTATCTCGTATCGTATCGTCAAATTCTCATCTCTGTTGGTGGAATTTTGCTGCGATTTCGATAACGAAATGACGAGGAGAAGCACGGAACACACAAATGCAAACATTTTTCCACTCATTATTTCACATAAGAATATACTTTCAAATAAGTAGATAATCAAATTTAGTGTTGATAATTTCTCATATAAGTTTTAAATTCGCAATAATTAAAAAATGTCACATTAAATTTATGCACACCTTTGCTTTTGTATTAATTGCAATAAAATATGTCAAGTACAAAATATAATAAAATTAAATTATCTTATTTTGTTTTTCAGCAAAATGTCGATTTGATTTTAGCATTATTACTATTAATATTAATGATTGCACGTCTTGAATTTTAATTATCTCACTAGATAACATCAGTATTATATCACTGGCTTTTTTTCTGATACAAAAATGTTCAAGATACATGTGTCTGCGCGGAAGAGAAAGTGAGACTACCGAGGACGACGAGTCGTCGATAGCTTTGCGAGAAACTATCCGTCTACTATACTATGTAGGAGTATACACATATAGCTTTTACATACTATATATAAAGAAAATAAAAAAAAATCATACAAACTTCGACTGACGATAGATTGAGCCACAAGCTGATGTTAGAGCATTTGTTGCGGCTAAACATACGAAAATATATGTATATATATATATATATATATATATATATATATATATATATAGAAGAGTACTCCATGAAAAAATCTCTCAATACCAAATACCTTTATCACTCAAAGAGTACTCCATGAAAAAATACTTATTATAGTATTTTAATAAAGCTCTTCTATATATATATATATATATATATATAATATATATATATTCTATAACATGGTCTTCGATCTCTTCTCTAATGAAATTTAATATCTAAATGCTTTGTTTATGAAATTCAGGATTTTTAATTAATTTGATACTGCTTTGGTTGATGTAAAGTTTTGTGGGGGGACGATAATTTACAGTCTAAATCATTTAATAATTCACAGCAAATACTATTTTCTTTGTCGCTGTTGCAGCTGCAACATATTCTGCCTCTGTGGTACTGAGAGTGACTAACTTTTGCCTTTGCGATTTCAAAATAACCAATTAATAGTTCATTGTTATTCCGACTTTTTATCAGCAAACTACATTCTATATGGTGCCAAGTAAATATTTGAAAATTCTCTTAACAACTAACCAATGATTACGTTTATACTTATTCAAATAACGACTAACAACATGCATTGCGATTGCAATATCTGACCGCAAAATTAACGCAAGAAACATGAGAGATCCTGCTCTGTACGGTACATTTACAATTTCTTGTTAGTCAAAATCGACCTTTGTTTTGTATGAGGATCCGTGGGTACGCTTACTATTAGCATCAATTATTCCAAATCTTTTAATTATTTATTGTATATACGCGCTTTGATTAATAAACAAATCTTTGTTCGTTTGATCACGCACAATTTGCATACCTATGAATGAACTGACATTACTTATAGTTAAATCGAACGCTTTTCTTAATTTTTCCAGAACTAATTTAATTGAGTTTTTAGCGTTACTAACAATTAATCCATTGCCAACAAGCAACGCAAGATATATAACATTTTTGTTTATAACGGCACGATACATACGTTTATCAGCTTTACTTTCTTTCAATTTATAATTGTTTAATAATTGTTTAATTCATAAAACTTCTAATTCCAACAACGCAGAGCTTGTTAAAGCCCATACAAAGATTTGTTTAACTTATACAGACTGACGTATCAGAAATATCTAGTCCTTTTAGTCTGTCTTATACCTCCATATATACTTTGTATATAGGAACGCGGTTCTAACGTCAAACTGGATCATTTCTAAGTCTCTGTGTGCAGCTAAAGCTAATAGCACTCTCAGGAAATCATAGCGTGCCACTGGTGCAAATGTTTCTTCGAAGTCTATTCCAAATTATTGTTGAAAACCATGTACATAAAGTCGAGCCTTGGATTTTACGATTATACCTCTTGAGTCTTGAAGGACTTTGAAGATCCATTTCGAATCGATAATTTTTTGCTTTTTTGGTCTCGAAACAAGAATCCAAGTAACATTTTGTTTATAAGCTTCTAACTCATCTTTAATGATCTGTTTCCATTTGTCCGAGTTTTTTCTTGTGACGACTTCCTGAAAGGTTTCGGGTATTATATAATTTAATTCATATTTTTTCGGAGGACAAACTGAAGCTCTCTCGCGAAGCGACCTAATCAAAATTGAAATAACAATTGGCTCCAAAACCTCAAAATTCTTTATGTTAGCTTCGGATTTATTTGAGCTTATTTCCAGGACGTTTTGCTCAGCATTGGCTTTTCTTTATCCGTTTCCATGTCAGTCAAACATACTCCGGAACTGATATTGTTGGACTCCTTGATTTTCGATTGACTGTTGCTCTCGTTGAAGGTGACATTTCTCAATAAAGTTATTTTATTTTAGTTGATAATCCCATAATCTGTAATTTGAAGATTCTGCTTGATAACCTACTACTATTAATTTCTGTCATTTCCTGTTCATTATACTTGAGTAGAATTGCAACAGTTCGAATTGATAAAGTAATAGATACACATTTAAATAATGATTTGCCGTTAAAAACATTTTTCAAATTGAGATAACTCAGCGAAAAATGATCGTATCGAGTTCCGCCAAAGCTTATTTTAAAGAGAAAACTTTGAATTTTTCACGAGTTTTTTTATCCCATTGAACTACTGATTCATGCTCTGCAATTCAGAAAAGTGGAACTTTTATTTATCAGTTTTGCAGATTCTCACTCTGTCATTTGTCATTGAAAAATTAATCATTCTATATTCTACGTAATCGGCACTAAAATTTTCTCAATCTACAGACTTTAAGCTTTATTTTTCTTTTTTAAAAACCTTGATATCATAATTATTAGCTGAGTTATTAAATTATTGAACTTTCACAATTTTTTACTACATTTCAAGTGTACCGCTTTTTTGGTCAGTATATATTTTGACAATTGCATTCTTATTTTATCAACTAACATAAATATATGTACTTTATGAACAAATTATATATTTATGCGTGCAAATTTTTCTATACATGCAATTGTCTTATTTTTAATTTAATGATACTAGAGTTATGTGTATTAATGTCTCTTATATAATTTAATTTTTAATATTTATTATTCATGTAGTTTTATGTTATTTCGAATAAATCAATGCAATCTTTTTCAAAAATTACCTTCTCCTTGTCAAAAGTCAGGAATAAAAGTTTAAATATTATCAAGGATATCTGGCATACATATTATCATATAATTATTGAGAGCGCCAAATCTAAACCGGTTTTAAAATAGTATTTTGTCTCTATTTTTGCAGACACTATTTAGCAGTACGGAATATATATTTGGCGAATAATGATAAATTGATATATTAACGTAATTTCATCATATCATATATATTTGCTATGTATTGAGCTGAATGTTCTACCTTCTAATTGCATTGTAAGAAAATATATGTATGTATGCATATATGTATGTATATGTACGCATGTATGTATACATTATATCCTAAAATAGGATTTTCATAATCACATTTCTATTTTCTTTTTTTTTCAATTAACGTATATACTGCATGAATAAATTATAGGTATATATGAACGATTTTTCTGCACACACAATTATCTTAATAATCATGTTTTAGATTATCAATATTGCAAACATCATGTATTACTTTCCATAATTTGATTTAATATTTATTGATTAATAATTTACGTTAATTCGAAGAAATTAATGTCTATTAAATCTTTTGCTAAAAAATATTTTTTCGTTAAAAGTTTTTATTAAATAAGAATTAAAGAATTAAATAATATCAGCAACACTTGACCTCTATCGCTATTTTTAATTCTCAATTAAATAATAAATAGTAAATTGTCACGAAAGCTGAATCTAAATCAATTTAATAGAGTATATTATGTTTATTTTATATTTGTGATACTGAGCGGAACAAAATACAAGAGATTTTGTTAGTAACAATAAACAATGACATACATATATTCAACGTTATTTTTAAATCATTTTTTGTAGTATAAAGACGATAGAGATTGATAAATTTGGAATAAATAAAGTTTAGCAAATATGCCGGTGGAGGGAGTTTTAAAACTAAAATGTAATTTAAATTTAGAATTTTTGAAGGATAGAGGTGCAGAGGAAGAAAACCTCTTCCGCGTCTATCGACATACCACATATATCAATGAATGAATCTAGTAGAGATTCATTTTATAAAATGTACATATTATCTGAAAATTGCATATAATTAGTGAAAATTTGAATAATTTTTTAAACAATGAACGAGACTAACATCTATTGCATGTTACTCAGGATAGTGACTTTGACAACATGTCAAGGTCAAGGTCAACTGAAACTTGGAACTGGCTCTTTCCATCGGCATATTTACTAGCTAAACGTAAAATAATGAAAATGTAATATTTTAAAAGTAATATAACTAATGTAATATTATTTGATTCCTCAGTATCAATTTATTTTTATTTTAGCGGGTCTCTTAAAAATATAATGATTATTTAAGCGTTAATATAAAAAAACAATCAAGAATTTATTTTATTTTGATGCTGTAGTGATTAAGCTACTATCTATTTATTTAAATATTAATATTTAAAAAACAATCAAGAATTTATTTTATTTCGATGTTGTATTAATTAAGCTACCATCTGCAGAAATTTCAATGAATTTTTCTGTTTTCCTTGAATATGTCAAAGTTATTTGTGTATAATCTATAATAGTAGACAGAAAATGTGTGTATGTGTGTGTTTCTTGCAAAGCTATTGACGACTCATCGTCCTCGGTAGTCTCATCTCCTTATGCAGGCATGTCTCTTACACAATCTTTTCTTTTGAAAAAAGTCAAAACTGGATATAAGAATATAGTCGGAGGCGTTACAAGGAGGTACGCAATATATGCTCCAGCGTAGAGCGCAAAGTTTGAGGAGAATGCAAAATTTTGATAGTCTATTTGTCAATTATTTTGCAGTTTTGCAAAATAATGGAGCCTTTGTCAATGGGTTAAGACTGTCGTAACGCCTCCAAATATAGTATTAATTTTATTAAATCTAGGAATAACTAACATTAATTGTACAATTGACAACGATAACAAAATGCTAGAATAAAATCAAATCGATC